AAATAATTCATTTTGTAAATTTTCCTGTTTTTTCTACGTTCTTCACTTTGCGAGTTTTGTATTTAATTTTTATTCAGTAATTCTCTGTGGTAAAATTATTAGATTTAACAGAAATGCTTGAAAATTTAACAGAAGGTTCTTTAAGGTCTTAATTTGTGGTCAAAAAAATAAAATTTGAGTTTAATGTAGTATTTTTTTTCATAAAGAAATTTTAATAACAAAACTATAAAAATGATGTTGAATAAATCTAATTTTTTGAATTTATATTTTCTGAACAAATGTGTATTGGTTATTTAAGAACGTTAGTGAAGTCAGAATCGAACGGACTGACTATGTTTCGAAATTATAGCTTTTTTAAATTCTGATATTATTTGGATATTATATAACTTAGTATTGTTTCCTCTAAAGAATGATTGTCGTAGCTCAATAGTTAATCATATTTGTTTTCATCCTAGGGTTCACAAAAAAAAAAAAAAAAATGGTTTGCTTTTTTTTACTTTTACGACTCCTCAAATTACAAAATTACGTTATTCACGAATAAACTAAAAAAAAATAAATGAGTGGTCGTAGTAGGTTATTGGTAGCAAATCCATCCTTTAATATTTTACCGTTTGTTGTACTATTTAGAATGCGGAAACAATAATACTCTGTTATCATATCTGTAAAGAAAAGATATACATACATAACCTAACCTAACCCACAACAGTATCGACTATTTTTCATTTTTCAAAGTTCTGATATTATCGCGATGTAATGAATGTCGTGAAATTATACGTATTTATAGACTATAGAGTAAACTTCATAATAATTTTTGTCGAGGGGAAAAAAAGTTAAACTGATAAAAAATATATTAATGGTAATAATAATCTCTTTTTAGTATTTGTCCTCAAATGTATTATTTCAGCGGACATTATGTTACCCACGTGTTTGTTACTATATTAATTGCGTAATGACTCCTATATTATACTTGAGTATAACACGTATACATGTTCAAATACTGTATAGCTATAAAATATAACATTAACGTGTTTTTATGAATCATATTTAATTTTTTTTTTTTTTTAAATACTGTTATGTTTACGTTTCGGGCGTGTTAACGTGATGATTATATTTCGAAAGGCCGTGGGAGGTAACGAAACGTAAGGTCGATACACGTTTATAGCAATTAATATTCCGTTAAAAATAACCTACACACTGCAGGGCGGGGTTATACTTTTGACAAAGTTTGGGAAAACAGTGTCCAAGAGGGCCCTTCAAATTATTATTATAATTACTAACAACGTTTTTTTTTTTTTTTTGTTTTTGGAGTTTTCCGTTCATTATAGTCTATAGAGACGCTCATCAAACAAATACAAGGCCAAATTAAAAAAATACTTAAATGATAACTGTAAAACAAATTGTGAGAATTGTTTGTTTTTTTTTTTTTTCAATTATACGCATTAATATCAATTATTAAAGTTAAATCCAATGGCTATATGAAAATCAATCACCCAAATAGAAAGTCGTTTATCTATGTGTGAACCTTCTAATTCTTCGGTGAACGACGTATTATTTAAAGTTGTTGAAAGACAAGTCAGATCACGTAATATAATTATTTTTAATGCCCCGGAATTTTATAGTAATAGTACTATAAATTATACATCGCTAATTAATTAATGTACCTTTGATGATTTTTCACCCGAATTATGTTTGTCAGCAACAGTCTCTCGACTAGACTCGAAATCTAACAAACCTAGTCCGTTAAAAGTTACTTTAAATGACCCGTCTGATGTTTTTACTGTACTTAAAAAGGAAAATAAACTTTGTGCATCTACAATCTACGATTTCATTCATTTATTTCCAGATCACACCGTATTTAAACGTTATCAACTTCGTCGTTGCTTATCAAAACTCGAGGAACGTAGAGTAACTGGTGAGTCTAATTTAGAAATTAATTTCACTAAGGGAGCGCTAACCGTTTCAAAAAACTAATGAACGGACTGAGTCACAAAAAACTTAAATTTATATTCTGAAAATGTTCACGGAGTTGACATCAAATTGAATATTCTAATGTCTAATGTATGATGTCTAACCGATTACGATTTTATCGCTTTACTTGAAATTTGGTTGTACCATATAATGTCAATACATCAGTTATTATAGATCTCCATGACTATATTACTTATCGCTGAGACTGAAGATAAATGACAAGTAATTATTTAAGAGGTGGTGGTGTTATGATAGTAGAAACTATCTTTAATATATACCAACAAGTTTCATTCTAGGGTACTATTTGTGCTGATTAGCCCGGTTGAACACATTTTTGTCATTATCAAAGTGAAGCTTGATTACATTATTACAGGTAATGTTTATTTTCTACCACGTATTGATATTTCAAATTATTATCATACACTTTGGCCTATAATATAACTTACTTTTAAACTTTCCGTATGTCAAAAAGGTTTTTTTTTAATTGTAACTACGAAAACATAACTTTCACTTTAGCGTCTATTAATTGAAAAATTGTATTTAAAAAAAATAGTGAACAAATTGCGGATAAACTGTATAAGAGTTCTAGTTTTGGTTAGTGATTACAATAATTTATCTAATATTCGTGCTGAATGTACATTTATTTTTCTCAAAAATACTATCAAAATTATATGAGTAAAATTGAAAAAATTAAAGATCGATCCTTATCAATTTTGGAAATTGTTTTTAACAAAAAACGCAAACATAATTTCTTACCGATTAGTATTTTTAAGTCGTTTTTTTTTTTATACACCAGCTAGCAACTTTAAGTACTGGGTTTAGTTATACTTTTTCTAAAAAAATATAACTAATCACACAAGTAATACTCCCCACAATAGACTTATGGTAACCACAATAAAATTAAACGTAGAATTGTTTATTTAATCAAACTTCAACCCGTTTAAATTATATTGTAACTATTTATTAAATTCTTAATTATAAGTTTTTTTAAATTGCTATTATTTTTTTTTGTGTATTATTTCATCATCCTTTGTTATTAAGAACTATTGTTATATTAAACTTTTGTAATTAGACCTGGCTGCTTTTTAAATAAATAAATACACATCGATTTTAAAACGTAATATATTAATATTTAAAGTTTAGTAGGTACTTTTTTTCTTTACAAATATGATAACAGAGTATTATTGTTTCCGCATTTTAAATAGTTTAACAAACGGTAAAATATTATAGGATGGATTTGCTACCAATAACCTACTACGACCACTCATTTTTTTTTTTTTTTTTTTTTAGTTTATTCGTGAATAACGTAATTTTGTAATTTGAGGAGTCGTATGATTATTTTTGTAGGATGTACTCGTCTATATTAGTTTACTAGGCGATATCAAATAAACAAAAAAAAAAAACAGTGAAGGCTAATATCACTTTCAACTTTTTTTTTCTATCAATTATTGTATGATTAATATTTATAATTTAAGTGTATTATTTTATACTAAAACACTACTTATAATTTGATACTTTCATAGTTATTCGTAGTATTAACCGTGTTTTGATAAATTTAACATAGTTACTGTATTTTATAAATAAGTCGTTATGGCAATTTTTGTTATTACTTTGGTTATACATGTTAGTTACAGGTTACTATAATATCATAACCAAACAAAAAGAAGGTTTACAACGTTTGATTTTGATAAAGTAGGTAATAATTACCGTATAATAACCTAGAGGTACTTTTTTTTTTAAAATCCAAAATAATATAGGTAAACTTTTAACTTATTTCTATGCTATAAAAACCATTGTTCATTAGATATGAATAATAAACAAACGATAAAGCCTAAGAATTGAGTGCTTAAAATTTGAACTGTCTACTAACATTAATTCATTTTATTTATAATGACTATGAAAATATCGTTTTCAAAAATGTAATCATTTACCAAAATCATGCGAAATGTATATTTTTTTGAGTAATATTAGACAATGTTTTCCGTGTACATAATTTGATTCATTTAACAGAGACTTCAAAGGTGAAATTTTTCTTTGGCATTTTTCTGCCATTTGTTCGTTTCATTGCATATTTCTACAATATATAAGTGTAATATAATATATTATTTATACATGATACGACCACCGATTAAATTAATTTGGTATATTTTATCTATGATACGACTTGATAATTGAAATTTAGATAATTCAAAATATTGCCAATGTTTTTCGAGTTTTCAGTTAAATATGGCCCCTCAATCAATACAATCGTCGCTAGTTACAAGTCAAATTTTTCAATTTTTTGTTTTCATTTTGAAATAAAATACAAATATTTTTAATAACTCAATAAAACAATAAACTGAAAAAATGTAAATATCATTTTTTAAGGGAGTTTTCACGGTAAAATATATTTTTTAAAGGCATTTTTAGATATTTTTCAAAGCATTTTCTGGCGATTTTTAGTGCATTTAAATCCAGGCCCTGCTGATAACTAATCTAACCAGGTTAATCGTCAACATACAGCTATCGTAATAATTAGTAATTAGACATAACTCATAATAAATACTAATTCAAAAATTAATATTTTATAATAGTTGATAATTATCATAATAAAGAAAACTATATTGTAACACAATATTTCATCATAAAATATTAGATATTTAATATGACAACTCAGTCACATTTGCCTAATACACACATTCGTAGACCATATAAACCTAATATTTGAGAAACAGTATATTATATTTGAATACTAAATCAACTTCACAAAACTGTTTAGTATTGGCTACGAAAATGCGTTTTAATTTAAAATTGGTAACACTTATTTTGGGTACTGTGTTTAATTGGAACTAAACGCATAGGGTTTACCGGAAATTTTTCCCGTCCATCCGTTTGGTGGGCTAATCCGATTCTGCAGCTATACACTAGAACAAAAATATTGATTTATTTTTATTTCGTAGTTTGAAAATTAGTTTTTTCATTTTATTCGAGTTTTTCGTTTTTATTATAACATTTAGGTAATAGTAAAGAAAAAACAAAAAAAAAAACTCCTACCCGGCTATGAACCCTCCTTAATTGATTTACGTTTACTCTGAAATTTTGCTGCGGGATGGCGAGAGATAAAACTACATTAGAGTTTTATACAAGAAGTTTGTTTTTACATATGGGAGGGGGACGGACTTTGCGAAGCAAAAAAAATACTCGAAAAGTTTAATTTCGCAGACGGGAAATTGAACACGGATGAGCACTTTAGAGATTGTTAGAGAAATTTTCTCAATCCGGTGCTACATTAATTATATTGTATTATAACTACTGCAGAGCGAAATGTACCTAATTTCGAAGAAATAATTTTCAAGACAATGTTTGATTTTCTATTTCATCTATAAATTCTGTGTTGAAAAAATGATGAGTAAAATGTATCTATAAAAAGATCCAATAAGACGAATGATCTAAAATCATCTCGGATAAGACAATAAACAAGTGGAATTGATTATGATCAAAACCAAATAAAAATTATTTATTGATGTTAATTTTGAAAAAACGCGGCGGTACTCAGGTAGAGTTCCCAGGAATTTTCAAGGGGTGGGGGGATGAAGTGATAATCATGATGCGTGATTATAATATCGTAGAACATCGTTCTGTTTGGTCAATAAATCAAGCTTTTTCTCGGCTAAAATATATAATGTCAAGGTTGAATTGCTAATAAACACTAATAATTGATATATTTTCGAAATCTACAATCTCTCCCTCCACCTTCTCTCTGTTTTCGTCATTGTAGGTATCTAGTATAATATGGTTGAAAAGTCAATATGATAAATATTTATTTATATTTTGCACCGGTAAAAAATTACTCCGTTTCAAACATATTCCGAAGTATATATAAATACATTTTTTTTTTTTTTTTATTTCAATTAAATTAGAATCGAAATTCCGGGTAGGTCGTTGTGCTTTGACAGAAATCGTTTTCGTTTAAATTAAATTTTACAACAATTTTTAATCAAAGGCCAGTAAAAATATAATAGTTTGCCCTCGTACAAAATCCAAGAAAAGCGTATTTCGTTCCATTATTGTATTTTTCGAAAGTATAATATATAATATTTTAATATTTTCTTCTACGCAATATTTTGTTATTTTTCGGCGAATCGACGGAAACAATAAAGTAACGAATTCGCGAAAAGCTCAATGACATATAACATAAAAGCACTCGGTATCGGCGTCACGTTTTGCTTCAATAATAATTAATAATAATTTATCGAATCATTTTCGAAAATATATTTCAGTTTTCGTGCAGCCTTCGCGAACAGACATTTTCCTTACAGCAACGGAGCCAACGCGCGCAGTAAGTTTGTAAACACATTCTGCAGTATAATACGGGAAGTGTGTTCTCTAAATCGGCTGTAATAATCAAACAACACAGCGATTACATTGTGAGTGGGAGGAGAAACGATAGTGTTTACAAACGTTTCGAGTTAAGATTATATTTTCTTCGAAAATTTGTGTTCAAAACACGTTTCTCAACCAGAATTCGACCGTCACCTGCAGGTCTTGATCTAAGTGCAGATCGATCGTTGTCTTCGTTTCTTATTGTTTTTTCAACCATAGTAAAGTAAATAAAATGAAATTCACGCAATTCGACCTTACTGTAATATCAAACATCGAAAAATCATTATTTCAGTGCCTTAATTTCTCATTAATATTTTAACGAGAACTAATATAGCGTTTTGGCGAAATTTTAAATATTCACCAAACAGTTAGGCCCGTAATGACCCGTACGTCGGTCACCTAACCATGCGCACTAACATAATGTGTGCCCTTTAGAACACACTGTATTGTTACACTTACAATTTTGGGGAAATATCAACGGAGGGGGGAATAGTATTACCATTGGCGTAACCAGGGGGGGGGGGTATAATTCTTCCACTGATAGTAGTTACTTTTATATTTTTTTTTATTATCGTTTCATGTGTATGTTACTTTTATATGGTGTACGTGGTATATTTTAATATTTTATTGATTATGTAAGTGCAGTATATTTTTAAATGTATAATAAAAAAATAAACGTATAATTTTGGGGTTGTTTTTTTTTTCTCTCTTTTTATTGAGAAATCTTGCCTATGCCACTAACTATTACTGAAAATTCAGAAAATACTACCAAATAACGGGCTGTCGCTTATTATTATTACATATTGCATTTACCATAAATTCCTACTGTGACTATTATTATAATCCGAATTCCATGTTAATACTCATCGATCGCCACTGCGTGAGATCGATACGGGCAAAACTCTTTTTATATTAATATGAAACAATTATATTTCTATAGAAGTAGTACAATGTTTAAAACATTCTGTCGATTTTTTAGCTATTAATAGGAATTTTACGTTTTCGAAATTTTGCGGATAGCATTGTTTGGCTAAACAAAAATGCCTGAAAAATTAAACCAGGTTCATTAATTGCACATAACGACCAACAATAAAATATAAACTTAAATCTAGTAATATTTTTTAGAAGCTTTAGGTTCAAATTTTGACGAAAATTGTACAAATGTTAGCTTTTAAAATAACATCTCTCAGAATTTCATTTCGTTATCAATAATTTAAAATACATATGAATAAATTAAAAACTTTAAGTATCTTACCTTCCCTAATTTCTGCCCACAACAGTAGTATGCACTCATTATCAGTATCGGCTTTTGATTTTTTGAAATTTCGGAATTTTTAAATTTCAAATTGAAACATCAGAACCTAAAAATTGGACTTAGATATTTATTTACTTATTTAACGTAACACAAAACATGACACTTTTCATTTTACATTCTGAGCGGAGCTCAGAATGTAATGGTTCCACATGATGTTTATTTTTCTCTGTAAACACATTTTTCACCAGGAATTTTGACTCTGATTTCTTTTTTCTGAAATGAAATCTGACTAGGGTTGTATTTTATGAATATAATTTTTTGCTTTTCCTAGGAATTTCAATAATAAACGGAAAACCCCGGGAGAAAAACGTAGAAAAAACAGGAATATTTACAAAATGTATTATTTTCAAATCGTAAATACTACGGCCTTTTAAAACATGTATAACCAAACTTCGCTCAGAATCGTTTTTTTGTTAGAAAAGATTAATCGTTCATTGCGTACAGATATACAGTAAATTCTCCCCTAAACCCTACCTTCCCAACTTCTAACCTACAACAGTGGCCCACCCAACGTCCGAAGTCTGTCCGTATTTTTTTTTTTCTAATCTATATGCGTGCTTAATCGTATATATTTCTATATAAGTTTTAAATACTTTAGATATAATTTCGCACGTTCCGTTTTCTAACAACACAATTTTCATTAAAAAAAATCACAAAAAAGACGTCCTAGGATAATGAGGTATGGTGCAGCCACTGTAATAGGTAGTTTAACATATATTTATAAATATATATATATATATATATATATATACATACATATTATAGTAAAACAATTTACAAGCATTTTACATTTTCTTTAATAATATTTGTTTATAATTATACCGATTATCCCGTTTTTCCCTAGTTTTTCACATTTCTTGAGAAAACTTTTGGGAAAATCGATAAATGACCTCTTTGAGGTACCTCCCTAGTCAGATTACCTTTTAAAAAAAGAGCTTATTGTAAATCAGATCAAAAATTGCTAGTAGAAAAATTGTCTACGGGGAAAAAATCGTTTTATTTTACTAATGTAATTTGTACAATTTCCAGTTTTTCACGATTTTTCCCACTTATTGGGAAAANAAGATTTTTGGTAGAAAAGTTTACATAACAAATCGAGGGGTATTTTGCGGTTAAAATAATACGAGTGAGCGATGGCTTGGATCTCTAGGTACACCTAAAATCCATTTGTCTTTTCCTTGTTTAAGTAAACAGTAAAAAAAAAGAAAACCATTTTTTTTTTTGTGAACCCTGGGATAAAAACAAATATGAATAACCATTCGACTACGACAAACAATCTTTAGAGGAAACAATACTAAGTTATATAATATCCACATAATATCAGAACTTCAAAAAGCTATAATTTCGAAAAATAGTCAGTCCGTTCGATTCTGACTTCACTAACGTTCTTGAATAAACAATAAAAATTTGTTCAGAAAATATAAATTCGCAAAATTAGATTTATTCAACATCATTTGAATAGTTTTGTTATTAAAATTCCTTTATGAAAAAAAATACTACATTAAACACAATATTTATTTTTTTGACCACAAATTAAGACCTTAATGAACCTTCTGTTAAATTTTCAAGCATTTCTGTTAAACCTAATAATTTTACCACAGGATATTACTGAATAAAAATTAAGTACAAAACTCGCAAAATGAAATTTCAACAAATAGCTCAAAAATGGCAAAATTTTTTCGGAAATTTGACCACCTCTAGAAAAGGCAAATATAAGTTTTCTGTCCAAAGTTTCAAATCTCTACGAATATTAATGATTGTATTACGGCAAATAATAAAATTAAAAACTAATAAAATCATTATTTTCTTAAAATTCCCGTTATTCTTACGTTTTATTTTGGTTTTTCCCGTATATTATGAAAACCGCTTGGATAATTGAAAAATGACCTCCTAAAAGTACCATCTGGAAGAATTTTTGTACACAGTATAAAAAGAAAATCTTACATCTTAATAAAACCAATACGTTCTTCACCACACTCAGAATTTAAAAAAAATAAGTAGGAAAACAATCGAAGAGTAACCCAAATCTATCAAATTCAATATCGGTTATTTGCCGTACGCTCTTTATGTCATTCCTTTTTGCGACCCAGTACTTTGTATTGTATTATTATGAATTTAAACAGAAACGTTTCATTTGAAAAACAATTCCAAGAGAAGCTTAGTCTACTGTTGTATTTTTACTGGAAATGGTTTTTATAAATATTCATTATATAGAGTGATACAAGCAGATTCTCGTTGACTCGGGAAAAGTATGTTTGGGTATTTTTTTTGTTATTTTTCATTCGATAAATTTCGTTGCGTTTATTTTGTTCACTACGAATATTGTGTGTTTGAAGCTTTCACTGTCATTGCCGGCTTTTGATTTTCAACCGACGATTACACGTTATAAACGCCATACATTTATTTAGTTTTTTATCGTATAGTTTACCTATAGAAAGATATAAATACATTTTGGTGTTGACATTTTGAATATTATTTCTATCAACCTCATGACGACGATAAAATATTATTATTTTGTCTGGAAATAGTGTGTCTAGACCGCTTCGTTTGGTATCTTTACTGTAGAGAGACCCTGCAGCTATAG